TGCCAATAAAATCGGCTTCATGCAGCTTTTTTAATCTTCTAAAAGCATGAAAAATAGCAGAGTAAGAGTGTGTGTGTCAGCTGGAAAGAGTTTCTGTCTAATCACAGCCCCCCTGATCCGTGCAGCTCTTGGCACTGGAGTACTGGGGGAATAAAAAATTCCAAACATTTAAAGCACGCTTGGTCTTTCTCAAGTCTTTTTACTTCTCCCTGCCTTTGTTTGCCTTGTTTAGGAAAACCAGCTGGTGTTAATTGCACTTCATGCACCACCAGCATGAACAGCAGCCAGATATCAGGAACTGGAGCCTAATCCCAGGAATCCACTCAATTGTTTGGGGGAAAAATTACATTATCACTCTGCAGAACAGCGGTAAAACGAGGGAGCAAAAGAAAAGGCAGGAAAGAGGCTGGTGGGGGGAAAGTGGGATAAAAATAAACTACAATCACAGAAAGAGAAATGGAGACGTTAGAGGATGGGATTCCCAGAGCAGCTGGGGCTGCCCCTGGATCCCTGGAATGTCCCAGGCCAGGTTGGGCACTGGGGATTGGAGCACTTGGGACAGCGGGAGGTGTCCCTGCCATGGCAGGGGTGGGATGGGATCTGGGATTTGGGATTTGGGATTTGGGATTTAGGATCTGTTCCAGCCCAAACACCTTTCCCAGCCTTATTCCAAGATTCCTTCACCCGAGTCATGCACAGGAGAAGGGATGGAATTCTGGACCTGGCACAGCTCTGTGCCCTGACTTGGGTTGGGATGGCAGGAGTTGGAGAGAAAAGGAAATATGGGGAGAGAAATGTGGAATAAAAGAATATTGATTCCTCCCCAGATTCACCTGCAGGGCTGGAAATCGGGAGTTGTGGTTGTAGCAATTCCTCTCTCTCTAAAAAGGGAAGAAAATCAGGATATTTGCAAAGATTTCCCATTCAAGTGCAGGACAAGGAGGCCAACCCCGGCCCTGATGGAGCAGTGTGCTTGTCCCTGGTGTGAGGACACAGAGCGTGAGGCACAGCACAAATTCACTGCTCTGTCCTCTCTGGGCCTCTCCAGGCCCTTTCTCCCTGCACACAGGGAAGGGTCTGCCCACATCCCAAAGGCTCCCTGCTCTGCAGGGCTTTCTCCAGGCTGGTGGGAGCCGTGAGGGCTTTCAGACAGCATTCCACACCTTCAGGAGTGTTCCCACTGGGATGTCTGTGGGGACACACTCACTGCACACCCCCTGTGCCATCCCTGCTCCGCTGGGAAGGTTTTCTTCCAACATCAGAGAGGAGAAGAACCTTTAGAGGCTGCTGCCCTTCACGTGGAGAAAACCTCCTCCCAACATCAGGAAAAAACACCTGTGAAGGCTCTGGTCTTTGTGCTCTGTGGAGGGAAACCTCCCAACATCCAGAAGGAGAAGAACCTCTAAAGAAGAACCTCACATGCTGCTCTTCATGCTCCACATGGAGGAAAACCTCCTTCCAACATCAGGATAGAAGAACCCCTGAAGGTTTTTGGCCTTCATATTTCACATGGAGGAAAACCTCCAAACAAACATGAGGAAGGAGAAGAACCCCTGAAGGTCTTTGCCCTTCAGCTCCATGTGGAAGAAAACATCCCAACATCCATAAGGAGAAGAACCTCTAAAGGCTGCTGCTCTTCATGTTCTACGTGGAGGAAAAGCTCCTTCCAACATCAGGAGGGAGAAGAACCCCTGAAGGTTTTTGCCCTTCATGCTCCACATGGAGGAGAAGCTTCCAACATCCAAAAGGAGAAGAACCTCTAAAGGCTGCTGCCCTTCATGCTCCACATGGAGGAAAACCTCCTTCCAACATCAGGATAGAAGAACCCCTGAAGGTTTTTGCCCTTCATATTTCACAAGGAGGAAAAGCTCCTTCCAACATCAGGACAGAAGAAGAACCCCTGAAGTTTTTTTTACCCTTCCCACTCCATGTGGAGAAAAACATCCCAACATCCAAAGGAGAACCTCTAAAGGCTGCTGCCCTTCATGCTCCATGTGGAGGAAAAGCTCCCAACGTCCAGAAGAAGAACATTTAAAGGCTGCTGTCCTTCATATTTACATGGAGGAAATCTGCTTTCAACATCAGGATGGAAGAACCCCAGAATGTTTTTGCCCTTCATGCTCCACGTGGAGGAAAACCTCCCAAAATCAGGATAGAAGAAAAACCCCAGAAGGTTTTTGCCCTTCATGTTCCCCATGGAGGAAAAGATTCCAACATCCAGAAGGAGAAGAACCTCTAAAGGCTGCTGCTCTTCATATTCCACAAGGAGGAAAACCTCCTTCCAACATCACAATAGAACCCCTGAAGGCTTTTTTACCTTTCCTGCTCCATGTGGAGAACAACATCCCAACATCAGGAAAGGTTTTTGCCCTTCATGTTCCCCATGGAGGAAAAGATTCCAACATCCAGAAGGAGAAGAACCTCTAAAGGCTGCTGCTCTTCATATTCCACAAGGAGGAAAACCTCCTTCCAACATCACAATAGAACCCCTGAAGGCTTTTTTACCTTTCCTGCTCCATGTGGAGAAAAACATCCCAACATCAGGAAGAAGAACCCCAGAAGGTTTTTGCCCTTCATGTTTCCCATGGAGGAAAAGCTTCCAACACCCAGAAGGAGAAGAACCTCTAAAGGCTGCTGCCCTTCATGTTCCACGTGGAGGAAAACCTCCTTCTAACATCAGGATAGAAGAACCCCTGAAGGTTTTTGGCCTTCATATTTCACATGGAGGAAAACCTCCAAACAAACATGAGGAAGGAGAAGAACCCCTGAAGGTCTTTGCCCTTCAGCTCCATGTGGAAGAAAACCTCCCAAACATGAGGAAAGAGAACCCCAGAATGTTTTTGCCTTTCATGTTCCATGTGGATGAAAACCTCCCAAATATGAGGAAAGAGAACCCCAGAATGTTTTTGCCTTTCATGTTCCATGTGGAGGAAAAGCTCCCAACATCAGGAAGGAGAACCCCAGAAGGTTTTTGCCCTTCTCCACCCTGGACCATCCACAGACCCACGGAAAGCTCCTGCCTGTCCCTGTGGCACTGTTCTGACCCCCTGAGCACCACAGCTCTGGGCCAGCACTGTTCCACACATGCAGGGCATCCTGGTGGGATGCCAGCCTGGGGACAGGGTGGCACTGCAAGGAGGCAGCAGCTCCCCCCTGCAGGGAGATCTCTGCTCGCACAAGGCTGAAACACCCCCATTTTATTCCCTAACATCTCAGGGAGCTTCTCACACCTCTTTGCACAGGGGTTTCCCACAGCACCCCACAGTCCCTCCTGCTCCAGCTGCTCTGAGCAGCCCCAGGAATTGCAGATGCCCGAGCACGGACAGCTCCACACCCACGGGGTCCTTACCAAAGCCTCCCAGCTGCTCGGGGGACAAAGCTCTGCCAAGATCCTTGTCCGTGTGTCCTGCCCCTCTAATGTGCCCCTGTTCCAAGAGGGAGAGGAGCATTAATGCCAAAACCATGGATCAGCAGCACCGGAGCGTGCCGGGGCTGGAACAGAGGGTGTGAGGAGCAGCAGCACGTCCAGCTGGGGACTGTCACCTCAGGGACTCACAAGGTGACAAGAATGCTGGCCTAAGCACTGAGGAGCTCGGGGAAACCATCCCATGCTTCCGCGGGAAGCTGGGGGTGGAAAACCGAAGCGCTGAGGTTGTTAGGATGGGGTTAGGGTTAGAGTTGAGCTGGGAAAGTGAGCACGGCTCCTGGGTGAGGGAGGTGGGGGCTCAGGTGAGCCAGGCTGGGTTTTGAGCTCAGGTGAGCCAGGCTGTGAGCTCAGGTGAGCCCGCCTGGAGGCTCAGGTGAGCCAGGCTGTGCTGACTCACAAGGTGACAAGAATGCTGGCCTAAGCACTGAGGAGCTCAGGGAAACCATCCCATGCTTCCCCGGGAAGCTGTGGGTGGAAAACCAAAGCGCTGAGGTTGTTAGGATGGGGTTAGGGTTAGAGTTGAGCTGGGAAAGGGAGCACAGCTCCTGGGTGAGGGAGGTGGGGGCTCAGGTGAGCCAGGCTGGGTTTTGAGCCCAGGTGAGCCAGGTTGGGAGCCCAGGTGAGCCAGGCTGGGCTGGGAGCTCAGGTGAGCTCTGCAGGAGGGGACAGCAGAGGGGACAGGAGCAGCAGTGCCCAGCACACACACTGAGACATGGCAAACCATCCAGAACAGAGGTACCCAATAAAATGGAGCTTTCCCTCAAAACCTCGAGGCCCTTCAACAGCTCCACACCCTTTGGAAAATGGCCTGGCAGCTGCACAAGGAGCAAAGTCTCTGTGACCTGAAAAAATGGGGAATTGTCTTGGCCAGAGGGAAAAATACCAACTGCTGTGGGATCTTTAATGCTCCAAAGGAAAAGGTACAACTGCTCCGTTTGGGGATAATTTCAAACCCCAGTGTAAGGAACAACTTTCCCAAGCTGCTCCTCCAAACTGTTCCTGCCCCTTTGGGAAGGGCTGATCTTGCTCCTAATGTCAACCTGTGCTTCTGGGAATGTATTAAAACCCACAGGAGCTTGATTTTAGGAATGTCAAAAGCTCCTCTCTCACAGATTATTTCACACAGAGATTTGAGGTCCCTTCCCACCCAACCCATTCCAGGGTTCCACGCCATGACCTGAACTCCAGCTCCAGCTTGAAACACACCCACAGGGGAAGATGTAATTCCATCCCAGGAGAACATTCCAGAACTCTGCCTCTCCTCTCCTGCCACCCAGGGCCCTGCAGCCTCGAGGTCTCTCAATGAGCCTGGTTAATTAATTCCCCAGCAGTTAATGCACGAGGGAGAGTGGGAGTTCACAGAGCAGCCAAGGCACAGTGCAGGAGGAGCTGAGCTCTGGCTCTGCTGCAAAGCCCGGGCATGCAGGGCCAGCCACACCCCAGGGGACAGCATTTGCTGGTTATCAAGACAGAGTTAAGTCAATTAAAAGATATCAACATGCTCAGCAATCCAAAAAACATCTCCCAAGCAGCTCCTTAGTCATGAAATCCAGAGATATAAAGAGTTACCCACTGCTATTGAGACAGCACTTATGACAGCTCCCAAGTAGCCCTGGATGAACTTGGATGTCGGAGAAGGCTTTGGAAAGAAAAACAAAACATATTTTCAATAAACAAACTTTTGGTTATTAATATTCAACCCATTTTCCCCCCTTTTTTTTGTTTGTTTGTTTTGGTTTTGGTGTATTTGTTTCAGAGCAGAGGCAGGTTTAATTTTGTCATATTGTTCTGTGACACATGGGCTGTCATCCCGAGAGGCAAAAGCGAGGAAATCGTGGCCTCCTGAGCAAGGTTACAGGGAATGGAAAATTAATTGGCATCAGAAAATTATAATAATAGCAGCTCAAAGGAAGGATGTGAGTGAAATTCAGCAAATGGTACCAAATTAGCATTTCTACTCTGGAGTGCTGAACCCCAAACTCGCCACAGTCAATATTTTGTCTGTGAAATGTTCTCTCAGTGAGCTGGATGGATGCCAGCTCAGCTTCCCACATCCCAACACGGGATGAATGGAGGCTGAGGAGAAGGAAGGGAGCAGGGACAGCCCCACCAGGGATGGAGCAGGGACAGCCCCAGCATTTCCCAGGAATACCCTCAGCACTTCCCAGGGGCAGACCCAGCACTCCCCACTGCCGCCAGCATGGACAGAATCCTTGGGAGATGGGATCATGGAGCTTCCTCCTGTTCCCCCAGCCCAGGCACCTTTCTGCTCAGTGCTCTTTCAGATCCCAGTTAAACCATTCCAGACCAGCTGGGACCATGGACTGGTTCAGCTCCGAGGCCTTGAGCCTCGTTTCTGTGCCTGAAGCGATTCCCAGATCCTTGTGCTGCTTTCACTGATTTTAAACACGGGACAATGGCCAGTCTAGAAATCCCCCAGAGGTTAGTTAAACCATTCCAGACCAGCTGGGACCATGGACTGGTTCAGCTCCGAGTACTTGATCTCATTTCTGTGCCTGCAGTGATTCCCAGATCCTTCTGCTGGTCACACTGATTTTAAACACGGGACAATGGCCACTCTAGAAATCCCCCAGAGGTCTCATGGCAGGGAAGAGGCAGGATTGGTGTTCCCATGTGGGAATGCCCGGGGCAGGCCCACAGCTCCTCCTGGCTGTGTGGGGGAATTGGCCTAGCTGTGACTCACAGTCAGCCAGATTTTGCCCCAAAAGAATGGGAATGCCCGGGGCAGGCCCACAGCTCCTCCTGGCTGTGTGGGGGAATTGGCCCAGCTGTGACTCACAGTCAGACAGATTTTACCCCAAAAGACCCAGGCATGAGTTTCAAGCCCTGGGAATCATTTGTTTAAATTAGGGTGAGCTGGAGAGCTCCCCCAGAAGCCTTTGGTGTCATGCTAAGCTGCCCAAGTCCTGCTCCCCCATTGGTTATGCCCTGTTATGTATTCCCTATAGGTTATGCTAAGTTCTGCTCCCCTATTGGTTACTTGTTTCCCCTATATGGTTATACTTCCAGAATGTTCCACCCCCAAGTGTTTATAGTGTTGCTTTCCCTTTGTCTCAGGGCTTTGGATCCTGCCCCTTGTACTGTGCTCGACTCCTCCACGTTTGTTGTTTTTCACCCTGTTATTAAACTTCTTTTTGGGCAACTCCATGGAGCCTGCTCCTTTTCATTTGCACCACCCTCACCATGAAATCAGGGAAGGGAGGTTTTTCATTACCACCCTCACCATGAAGTCAGGAACCAGGGAGGTTTGTCACAGCCACCCTTACCATGAAGTCAGGGCTCAGAGAGGTTTGTCAGCCACCCTCAGTCCCTGCAGTCAGAAACCAGGGAGGTTTGTCATGACCACCCTCACCCTGGAGTCAGGGCCCAGGGAGGTTTGTCACCACCCTCACTGCCCTGGAGTCAGGGACCAGGGAGGTTTGTCACCACCCTCACCATGAAGTCAGGAACCAGGAAGGTTTGTCAGCCACCCTCAGTCACTGGAGTCAGGAACCAGGGAGGTTTGTCATGACCACCCTCACCCTGGAGTCAGGGCCCAGGGAGGTTTGTCACCACCCTCACTGCCCTGGAGTCAGGAACCAGGGAGGTTTGTCACAGCCACCCTCAGTCTCTGAAATCAGGAACCAGGGAGGTTTGTCATGACCACCCTCACTGCCCTGAAATCAGGGCCCAGAGAGGTTTGTCAAGGCCACCCTCAGTCCCTGGAGTCAGGGACCAGAGAGGTTTGTCATGGCCACCCTCACCATGAAGTCAGGAACCAGGAAGGTTTGTCACCACCCTCACCCCGGAATCAGGGCCCAGGGAGGTTTGTCACCACCCTCACCCTGCAATCAGGGCCCAGGGAGGTTTGTCACCACCCTCACCCCGGAATCAGGGCCCAGGGAGGTTTGTCACGGCCACCCTCACGGTGGCAGCAGGCTCACCTTGCTCGCGTTGCGGTTTGCATAGTTCACACATGCGTTGTGGCTCTGGTTCAACCACTGCAGGACAGAGAGACACAGCATCAGCACAATCCCAACAGAATCCCACCTTCTGGGAGTTCTGAGGGAATCTCTTCTGTCTTTGGGCTGCTCCCAGCTCAACGCCTCGCTGGGAGCAGGGTGTGAGCTGATGCCCTTCAAGTGGAGGGATGGACATTCCAAGGAGTCCTGAGGGCAGGTCTGCTTCCCTGGATGGGCAGCTCCTCTCCTGGCCCCAACTCCCTCACTGCTGTTGGGTTATAATCCCACAGAATCCCAGGATCACTGAGGCTGGAAAACCCCTCCAAGGGTCACTGAGCTGTGCCCGTTGCCCCTTGTCCCCACCCCAGAGCTCTGAGTGCCCTGTCCAGGCCTTCCTTGGACACCTCCTGGAATGGGGTCTCCAAACCCCCCTGGGCATCCCCTTCCAATATCCAATCTCCCTTAATGGGAAGAAATTCCTCCTGGTGTCCTGGCCAGACATGTGCAGTCAGGATGCAGCAGGAGGCCCAGTGCCATTCCAGCAGGCCCTTCCTGAGCTCCAAAGGCTCCCAGAGGGTCACAGGAGGCTTCTGAGGAGCAGGAGATGAGCAGGTGGCCCAGCTTATGGACACACACGGCACTAAACTGGCTGGAACAGAGCACTTGGGGCTGCCCCTGAATCCCTGGAAGTGTCCAAGGCCAGGCTGGACAGGGCTTGGAGCAGCCTGGGATAATGCGAGGTGTCCCTGCCCACCTGGGGTGGAATGGGATGGGATTTACAGTCCCTTCCCACCCGAACCAGCCTGGGATTCCATCCCAGATGTCCCTGAACAGGGCGGGTGAGCGGCCTTCAAAGCCCTGAGTGGCTCAGGATGTCCCCAGCCACTCCTCCTCTGGGACAGCTCCCAGCAGAGCCCAAACTCCTGGCAGGGCTGTCCCGCCGCCTTCCCCATGCTGCCTGCAGATCCCACTCTGCTCAGAGCCTTCCTGACTGCACAGCTCCATCCCCACTCTCAGCAGACAATAAAAAGACATTTGCCATAGAAAGGAGGCTGAAAATAACTCGTTCCTTCGTTTCAGCTGGCGACGGAATCACACTTGTGGTGTGTTTACTATGGATCTCTCCTTCCCGTGCCTGCTTCCTCCCCTTACTCTTAATTCCCAGGATCTGAACGGGAAATCACACCAGCACCTCCCTACACGCAGATTGTTTTCCCCCAAAGTTCCTGTAGCAGACTGAATGCAGGGCTCCTGGGCTTTGCCACGCACAGCTATTCCCAAAATTCCTGGCAACAGGGCCTCCCATCATCCCCAGCCCTTCCAACGTCCTTCCCCAAGGAAATCCCAGCTCCTCATCCTCCCAAAGGCAGATGAATGAGTTTAGGGCCAACACCTCCGTGGATGTGCACATGGAAGAGGCATTTACACCCAGACAAAAAGCCTCCAAAATCTGATTTTTGCTCCTGGCCTGTTCTGCCTCTTCCTTGCCATGGCAAAGGAAGGTGTGGGATGAAAAGGGGAGCCCAGGTTTGTTTCCAGCCCCTTGCAGGCCTTTCCCTGGATGGGTCCAGGCAAATCCTGTCCCTAAAGCATGGCCAGGTGGGACAGCCACAGCAGCAGCCTGTCCTCTGGGAAAACCCAGCTCTTCCCTCCTGTCCTGGGTTGTGTTTCATTGCCACCCTTCATTGCCACCTGTCAGAGCTGGGGCAGCTCTCTCTGTTCATGGGGCAGCTCCTGCCTTCCTCAGCACACACCTGGCTTTTCAAACCAAGACACCTCCCCACACTCCCACCCTTCCCAAGGAGCCTCACCTGCCAAAACACAGTGGAGGCCAGGGTCTGGTTGGGCAGGAGGAGACCAACAACCTGCAAGAGGAGAGATTCTCTCATTATTAAAGCATCCCTGGTTTGCTCTCCGTGCTTTTCCAGGCGTGCAAACAGCCAAGCTGATTTCCAGGGACTTGAATAAATTATCCTCATTTCTGGCTTTATTTCATTCCCGTTATTTTTGTCATCCCAGTCGTTTTCAGCCTCCCGTCTCTCCTTTTTCCAGGGGTGGAACTGGCTGATGTGGCTGCTCCTGAAAGCTCTGCACCTTTAATTACTGCTCGTGATACACCCTGAAAATCCCTTGGCAGCTGGCACTGCCCAAGGATCCCATTAAAACCCAAACAATTCCCTAATTCCGGTGTTTCTGGAGGGGAACACAAACCCTGCACGGAGACAAGAGTTCAAAGCTGTCACTACTGGCAGTGAACGGGGTGTTCTCATTTTCCTTTGGCACATTCCCTGTTTGGGGCACCAGGAGAAAATCCCTCTGGAATCTGAGGCCAGCAGAGCCACCTGGGAGCCCTTTGCTCCTGTTTGGGAGCCTGGATTTTCTTTTAATTGAATTTATTTGAATTCATTCATCTTTTTTGGTGTGTCACTGTCCCCCCGAGGCTTGGGGCAGCCCAGCACATCTGGCCAGATGTTCCCTGCTGGGGCCTGCACTGGGACACCAGAGGCTCTGCAAGGTCACCTGTGGCTGCACCTGAGGCCACACAGGTGTGTCCTGGGCCTGGGGTGTCCTTGGGTTGTGTCTCACAGCACCACAGGGACACAGCTCTGCAAATCCCATCCTGACACACAAACACCTGCCTTAGGGCCAGCTTTCCTGGTTTAAGCCAGTTTTTTCTTGTTTTAGGGCCATTTTTCCTGGTTTAAGGCAGTTTTTCTTGCTTTAGGGTCATTTTTTCCTGGTCTAAGGCAGTTTTTATTTTTTTCAGGACCACCTTTCCTGCTTTATGGACATTTTTCCTGCTATAGAGCCATTTTTCTTGTTTTAGGGCCATTTTTTACCAGTTTAAGGCAATTTTTTCCTGTTTTAGGGTAATTTTTCCTGGTTTAAGGCAGTTTTTTCTTGTTTTAGGGCCACGTTTCCTGCGTTGGGGCCATTTTTTCCTGGTTTAGGCCACCAGAAGCTGAGGAAGAGGAAAGGGATGCAGGCAAGGGGATCCCGAGGACCAGCCCAGCAAACACAGCCAGGACAAAGAATTCCCAGCAATAAGAGAAGCCTGCCACGCTTCCCTCCCTCCCTGTGCCCCCAGCCCCCCACATTTCTGCAGGTGTTTTCTGCCTGCAAAACCCCGCGGAATTAAAAGGCCGAGCAACTCTTTAACTCCATCCGTTTACTCCACTCGTTGTCTCCGAAAGCTGGGAGCTCGTCCCCACCCTCAGACCTTCCCCAGCGTCTCCTCAGCTTATCCCCAGGAATTTGGGAAGGGATGGGATGGAATCCCAGGGATGGAGGGAACGGATGGAGGGAATGTCGTCTCCGCCGGGGCCGTGGAGAAACGGCCCCGAACAAAAGGGGCCGGGGCTTGGGCGGCCTCGTTCCCTTCCCATCTCCTCTCCCTTCTCCTCCTCCTCCTCCAGCTTTTCCTCCCACTCTCGTGGAGTTGCAGGGACTTTGTTCCCTGGCCCAGAGCCAGCTCCCACTAATTTACGGCTCCGTTCCCCCACGCGGAGCTCGGCATTAATTAACGCAGCCCCAAACGAAGCCCCCCTCACCCCAAGCCCAAGCCCGAGCCCTGGTGCCCCCCAAAGCAGCGGGATGACGAGGCTGGGGAGGAACGGGGCCAGGCAGAGGCTGGGGCTGAGCGCCGGGGGAAAATTCCGGCAGGAAAATAAATAAATAAAGAAAAAAAAGAGCACCCAAAATCTGTATGACTGAAAGAGGCACGTTTAAATGCAAACTCTCCATATGTGCAAGAGTCTGTCAAGAAATGTACAATTTCACTTTTAATTACTGTCAGGGGAAAAAATAACTAAGAAGGAAAACAAAATAAAAAAAAAAAAAAAGAGCTCCTAAACACTGGCGAAGTGTCAGCGACAGAATTTAATTGGTGATCAGGTGTGAAGGGCCCTTGGTGGCCCCAAAGCCACCCCGTGGACATCAGGGAGCTCTGAGCAGCCCCAGCTCAAACCCCAAACCCTGCCTGAGGTGGGACGGTCACCTGCAGCCCCGAATTCCCACCTGGCTCTTCAGAGGTTCTCTATAAACTCATCCAAAGCCCGATTTTTGGATGGCTGGGGGAAACCGGGTGCTGAAAGCTGTGGTGGCAGCAGGACTCTGCCCTCAAGGCCAGGGTTGAGCTGCATTTCCTAAACATGGATAAATCTTGCCCCCAGAGGAGGAAACAGCAGCCTGGGGAAGGGGCTCCAGCCCAGCAGCTGCTTTGCAGGGAAAGAATTCCAGAAAGGGCTGGAAATGGGGGAAAGGGCAAAGCCAAAGCCTGCACGCTCACAGCGAGCCCAGGCTGTCCCCTCTGCTGCCCCAAACCCGGCACGGAAGGGATGCAGAGGCCAAGCCCGGGGCAGGGCCACGGGGAGCAGGAACATTCCCGGGATTGGGGATTTGGGATTTGGAGGCGTCAGGGGAGCCGCTACCACGATCCCATTATCCCCCCAAAGCCTTAATCCCCTTCACAATGAGCTCCCCCAGAGTGGATTATTCTGCAGAGGGAAATACCCCCGGGAGGGCCACGGCCCTAAACTGCTCATCCCCACCCCGCTCACGGCTCGGGGCGCGCGGCTGACCCCAAACCCCACCTGGGGACAGGCACAAATCCTCCCCGAGGACAAGGACGGCCCAGCCCGAGCCTCTCTTGAGGAAATCCCATCCCCCTTTGTGGAATAGAAGACTCAAACTGTTTTTATGCTGGAGCAGGCTGCCAATTTTGTCACTAAATTTCACAGATCGATTGGCATAAATGTTACATTTTAATTTTAACATTTGAAACGTTTGGGTTTTTTTTTTTCTAAATGACAAGAGGTTCCAGTTTATCCTTTACAGCTCCTGAAATTGGGCTCATCTGACAGCTCTCGGCTCCTCTGACAGCTCTGGATTGGGGCCGATTTCATTGTCAATTTGATCGTTAACTCGTTTTTGTTTAACCTTTTCTTTTAAAATGCCCCACACAAAGTTCCCAGCGAAGCTTTGCCCACCACAACAAACAGCAGCAGCCCTGCTGATCCCCTCCTCGAGCCAGGCCTAGAGCACCGCTGGCTTTACGGAGATTAAATTCAGTGTATTTTGCTCCTTCGGCCATTTTAATGGACCAATAAGCTGAAGCAGGAGCTGGTGGCTTTGAGGATAAAGTGCCTCTTGACTCCAATTTTTTGGGGGCAAACTGTGCCTCAGTTTCCCACAAAACTGGGCTAAATCAACCATTCCTGTTTGGGTGAGGTGACGATTCAGCAGGAGGAGAACAGGCACAATTCTCTCCCTTCTGCCTTTGGCCATGGAGAGCACCCAAACACTCCCAAAATTCCCAAAAACAAGGAGAAATCACCCTCAGGAACAGCCTCAGGAGGTTAGTTAACCCAACTCCCATTCGAGGTTATTTATCTACTATTGAGGTTATTTTCTATCAATATATTGGGGTTATTTTTTATTAAGCATCAGGTTATTGATTAATTAATCCAACCCCTATTCAAGGTTATTTATGTACTATTGAGGTTATTTATCTATTAAAATATTGAGGTTATTTTGTATTAAATGCCAGGTTATTGATCAATTAACCCAGCCTCTGTTTGAGGTTATTTATCTACTATTGAGGTTATTTATTTATTCATATGGAGAGGTTATTTTTTATTATCTATCAGGGTATTATGAATTAACCAGCCTCTGTTTAATTATCTACTACTGAGGTTATTTATTTATTCATATGGAGAGGTTATTTTGTATTAAATATCAGGTTATTGATGAATTAACCCAGCCTGTGTTTGAGGTTATTTATCCATTTAACATCGTTCCCACAACCTCCTTCAGCACCTTCATCTTTCCCCTTTCCTCTTCATCTCTGGGTTAATTAACCCAAACGAGAGCACACGGCACTGCCTGGCTGAGCTGGAGCTCCTCACGTTGGGAAGAGACCCTTAAACCACGGAAATGCAAAATAAAAGTGACCAAAAATGAAATCTGAGTGTTGCAGGAGTTGCATTTTGCCAGCAACGAGTTCAGCTTTGCAGAGGGAAAGATGAAGGTGCTGAAGGAGGTTGTGGGAATGATTTTGAATTGATAAATAACCTCAAACAGAGGTGGGTTAATTCATCAGTAACCTGATATTTAATACAAAATAACCTCTCTATATGAATAAATAAATAACCTCAAGAGCAACTAAATAATCTCAAACAGAGGTTGGGTTAGCTCATCAATAACCTGATAGATAACAGATAAATAACCTCAAAATACTAAAAAAATAAATAACCTCAATAGCAGACAATTAACTTCAACCTGGGTTGATTCATCAGTAACCTGATATTTAATAAAAAATAACCTCAATATATTGATAGAAGAATAACTTCAGTAATAAATAAAAAACCTCAAATAGGGGTTGGATTGATTCATCAATAACCTAATAGATGATAGATAAATAACCTCAATATATTGATAGAGAAATAACCTCAATAATAGATAGTTAACCTCAAACAGGGGCTGGGTTAATTCATCAATAACCTGATATTTGATAAAAAATAACCTCTATGTGAATAAATAAATAACCTCAACAGTAGATAAATAACCTCAAACAGAGGTTGGGTTAATTCATCAATAACCTGATATTTGATAAAAAATAACCTCTATGTGAATAAATAAATAACCTCAACAGTAGATAAATAACCTCAAACAGAGGTTGGGTTAATTCATCAATAACCTGATAGATAACAGATAAATAACCTCAATATATTAAAAAATAAATAACCGCAATAGTAGACAAATAACCTTGAATAGGGGTTGGGTTAATTCATCAATAACCTGATAGATAACAAATAAATAAACTCAATATATTAACAAATAAATAACCTCTATAATAGATAAATAACCTTGAATAGGGGTTGGGTTAATTCATCAATAAACTCAATAGTTATAACAGATAATAATAGATAATTGATAAATAGCCTCAATATATTGATAGAAAAATAAGCTCAATAATAGATAAATAAATAATCTCTGAGGCTGTGTTAATTCCTAAATAACTTCATAAACAGTAGATTAATAACCTCAATATATTAATGGATAAAACCCCCTTAATGATAGATAAATACCCTCAACCAGAGGCTGGGTTAATTCATCAGTATTCTCATACAGAATAGATAAATCACCTCAATATATGAACAGATAAATAACCTCAGCAGTAGATAAATATCCTCTAACAGACGTTGGGTGAATTCATCAATAATCTGATAGATAATAGATAAATACTCTCAAACAGAGGTTGGGTTAATTCATTGATAACTTCATAGATAATAGATCAATACCCTCAATACACTAATAGATCAATACCCCCAATACATTAATAGATAAAACCCTCAAACAGAGGTTGTGTTAATTCATCAATAACCTGATAGATAATAGATAAATACCCTCAATACATTAATAGATAAAACCCTGATATAGAGGTTGTGTTAATTCATCAATAACCTGGTAATAGATCAATACCCTAGATACATGAATAGATAAAACCCTCAAACAGAGGTTGTGTTAATTCATCAATAACCTGATAATAGATCAATACTCCCAATACATGAATAGATAAAACCCTCAAACAGAGATTGGGTTAATCCATCAATACCTGATAGATAATAGATAAATACCCTCAATACATTAATAGATAAAACCTCTGAAACAGGGATTGTGTTAATTCATCAATAACCTGGTAATAGATCAATACCCTAGATACATGAATAGATAAAACCCTCAAATAGAGATTGGGTTAATCCATCAATACCTGATAGATAATAGATAAATACCCTCAATACGTGAATAGATAAAACCCTCAAACAGAGGTTGGGTTAATTCATCAATAATCTGATAATAGATCAATCCCCTCAATACACTAATAGATAAATACCCCCAAACAGAGGTTGGGTTAATCCATCAATAACCTGAGAGATAATAGATTAAATACCCTCAATACATGAATAGATAAAACCCTCAGACAGAGTTGGGTGAATTCATCAATAACCTGATGATAGATCAATCCCCTCAGTACATGAATAGATAAAACCCTCAGACAGAGTTGGGTGAATTCATCAATAACCTGATGATAGATCAATCCCCTCAGTACATGAATAGATAAAACCCTCAGACAGAGTTGGGTGAATTCATCAATAACCTGATGATAGATCAATCCCCTCAGTACATGAATAGATAAAACCCTCAGACAGAGTTGGGTGAATTCATCAATAACCCATAGCTAATAGATAACCACAACTGTTTCTCAATTCCTCAATAAGCACAGCCCTGAGCAGCAGATGGAACCCCCGAGCAGGGCAGGGGTGTCCGTGACGGATCCCCTGTCCAGGAGAGGGGACGCCGGGCGTGCTGTGGGGATGGCACGGGGTGCTGAGCTGCAGGGAGCACAGCGGGCTCAGCAGTCATTTCTGACAACCAGATACTTACGATGGGCGTTCCAAAGGGGATGTAACCTGTGGGGGAAAGAAAAGGAAATTAATGAATTGGAATTGACGTCCCAGTCTGGGGACTCCAGGTGCCCTCACTGCCACCACCCTGGCACAGCCTGGAACTCCACCTGATGCTCCAACCAGCACCCAGCGCCCTCCTGGATCTCCCATCCTTTATTTGCTCTTCGAGCTCTCCCAAGTCTTTTCCTCAAATCCTATGGAGCACCACAGAAATCAAACGCTTCACGTTCCCCCTGCTGTGGCTGCCAATTCCTGTGCTAATTATAATTCATCTCTCTGGCTTCCACCAGGAGGTCTCGGAGCATTCCCCCAATATCACTGAATCCACTTCCTGCACCCAATTTGCAACCAAAAAGGGCAAAGACCTGAGAGGAAGAAAAAATCTGGGAGACAAATTCAGGGCAAGGCAGCAAAGCAAAGGGTGCTGGCTTCTCTTCCCCCTCCACCCATCATCCCCCAAACCCCGTTCATTCCCCTGTGCCCAAATCAGGGGGGTTGCACCCAAAACCATGGAAAAGGTCCTGTTTATTTCAATAAATCTGCTGGGAAAGCACCAGGGCTGCACTGGCACTCCCAGGAGGGCTGCTGGGGACCTGAGCACAGGGGGAAAACCCCAAAGAGGGTTTTTAATTTAATTTTTCATCATTAAACAGCTTATTAAGGCACAGAGGAGCTGATCCTCCCTGGAATCCCAGTGCTGGGGCTATGAGATGTCATAGCCCATGGAAAAACAGGGATCATCCCATTCTTTCTCAGGGAATAAACCCCCCCAGCCCCCTCCTCTTCATCCAGCGAGGATGGATGAAGCTGCTGCCCTGTATTTTACACCCCTGGAGTTGTGGGCAGCAAGATTTGCCATTTTCTGCCACGTTAAAATGCTCCCAGTAGTGACAGATCCCTCAAAAAATGCCAGGAAAGGCTCTGGCTGGGGTCCAGTTAAAATACGAAGTGCCTGTCACCTCCATGAGGAAGGGAGAGAGAAAGGAGAAAAGGGGAAAAAAGGAAAGGGGGGAAAAAGGAAAGGGGGGAAAAAGAAAGGGGAATGGAAAAGGAAAAGGAAAAGGAAAAGGAAAAGGAAAAGGAAAAGGAAAAGGAAAAGGAAAAGGAAAAGGAAAAGGAAAAGGAAAAGGAAAAGGAAAAGGAAAAGGAAAAGGAAAAGGAAAAGGAAAAGGAAAAGGAAAAGGAAAAGGAAAAGGAAAAGGAAAAGGAAAAGGAAAAGGAAAAGGAAAAGGAAAAGGAAAAGGAAAAGGAAAAGGAAAAGGAAAAGGAAAAGGAAAAGGAAAAGGAAAAGGAAAAGGAAAAGGAAAAGGAAAAGGAAAAGGAAAAGGAAAAGGAAAAAGGAAAGGAAAAGGAAAGGAAAAAGGAAAATTAAAAAGGAAATGGGAAAAGGAAAAGGGAAAGGGAAAAGGGAAAAAGGAAAGGAAAAAGCAAAGGAAAAAGGAAAATATTAACACTAAATCTCACAATGGAATGCAGGATTTTCATTTTCCTCGCCTGCAAAGGGATTTTGGTGCTGGAATTCCTTCCTGATCTTGGTCTAAATGCTGACAAGATTCAATTCCACCAGAGGAGAACCCCACCCCCCCGTGCTTTATCCAAATTCCAGGAGCAGGGCCGGGACATGGCGTACCTGACATTCGGAAAGGCATGAAGATGGTCTCGTTGGTGTCGGGGTGGATGATGGCCTGGAAAAGTGTCACCAGAGAGTCCCAGTGAGGGCAAGGGCACAGCACGGCCACCCCTCGGCTCCAGGCACCCCTGTGACACGGAGTCCCTGGAATTTCCCTGCCCTGGGACCCTCCTCGCTTTCACCAGAGGCAGTTTGGGCTGGGCAGCCTCCACAAAACCCCTCCCCAGCACTGCTCTCCCCTGTCCTGCAGTAATTCATGCAATTAAATTAAACATTTAAATTAATTGTAATCATTTAGGAGGAAATCATTGACCCTCACATGCAAAGAGTGGCTCTGTGTCCCCAAAAGCCACCCACAGCTGCACCTGAGCCCCAGGAAAGGCAGACTGAGGAAGGAGAGGAAAATGATTTCCTGTCCCTGCCTGCTTTCAGCACCTCCGGTGAGGCTGAGATGTCCTGGGCAGGAAAGGGGGGAAAAGCCCAGGCTGTGGCAGAGGGACGGCGAGGATGAGGAGAAATCCCTTTATCCTGCGGGGGAAGCAAAGGGGCCACGGGGAAAAGCCCAAAACCCCCGAGGCCCAAACACAACGGGGGATTCAGTTCAGGAGCTTCTCCCCATCTCCAGGTGTGGGTCCCGTTCCAGAACCTTCTCCTCACTCCAGCTGTGGATCCCATTCCAGGACCTTCTCCTCATTCCAGCTGTGGATCCCATTCCAGAACCCTCTCACTGCAGCTGTGGATCCCATTCCAGAACCTTCTCATTCCAGCTGTGGACCCTGTTCCAGAACCTTCTTCTCATTCCAGAACTTCTCCTGATTCCAGCTGTGGATCCCATTCCAGAACCTTCTCCCCATCTCCAGCTGCAGATCCCATTCCAGAGCCTTCTCATTCATGTACTTGTGGATCCCGTTCCAGAACTTCTCCTCATTCCAGGTGTGGATCCCATTCCAGAGCCTTCTCATTCCAGCTGTAGATCCCATTCCAGAGCCTTCTCATTCCAGCTGTAGATCCCATTCCAGAGCCTTCTCATTCCAGCTGTAGATCCCATTCCAGAGCCTTCTCATTCCAGCTGTAGATCCCATTCCAGAACCTTCTCCCCATCTCCAGCTGCAGATCCCATTCCAGAACCTTCTACCCACTGCAGTTGTGGATCCCATTCCAGAACCTTCTCCCCATCTCCATCTGTGGATCCCATTCCAGAGCCTTCTCATTCCAGCTGTGGATCCCATTCCAGAACCTTCTCACAAAGTGGATCCCATTCCAGAACCTTCTCCTGATCTCTGGATCCCATTCCAGAACCTTCTCCCCATCTCTGGACCCTGTTCCAGAACCTTCTTCTCATTCCAGAACTTCTCCTCATTCCAGGTGTGGATCCCATTCCAGAACCTTCTACCCCATCTCCAGCTGTGGATCCCGTTCCAGAATGTTCTTCTCATTCCAGAACTTCTCCTCATTCCAGGTGTGGATCCCATTCCAGAACCTTCTCCCCATCTCCAGCTGCAGATCCCATTCCAGAACCTTCTACCCACTGCAGTTGTGGATCCCATTCCAGAACCTTCTCCCCATCTCCAGCTGTGGATCCCACTCCAGAACCTTCTCACAAAGTGGATCCCATTCCCGAACCTTCTCCCGATCTCTGGATCCCGTTCCAGAACCTTCTCCCCATCTCCAGCACGAGCTGGACACCGACAGGCAGGTCCAGCCCTCTCCCAAAACCCCCACAGAGCACGTGGATTTGCCAGGAAGCCTCGGTGCCCCCGGAGATCCCCACCTCCCCAGACCCTCAGTCTGCTTCAGGACCGACAGCAGCAAAGCTCACTTGGCCCTTTGCGCCCACATCCCCCCAAATTTCCTGCCAGGCCCAGGAGGCTGCACTGGAATTCACTGGGAGGCAGAAATCCATTCCCCAGGGATCTGGGACTGCGGGGAGGAAGGTACAGCACAGGCACAAAGCTTCCCAAGGAACTGTCAAACTGTTTGCAAAAAACTGGAGACAAGAAGGCTCTTGACTAGACAGGAAGGAGAAAATGAAGACATCAAAATATATAAATATATATAAAAAGAAAAAAAATCAGGCTCTTTGGTGGCAGAGTGTTCTCTGCATTTACATTTCCATGGGAAGGCAAAACAGCAACTGGCAAAGGGAACGAGGGAGGACAGGAAAAAGCAGCGACACTTGAAAATAATAAGGAAAATTGAAAATATTTTTGAAAGTGTATTACCTGTTTGATTTTTTGAGCTCCCCACAGCTGAAAAAACAAAAGAGAACATTAAATGTAAAAAAACCCAGTGTAGTTTTAGCCCAAATGTTCATCTTTTAGCTGCTGTTATAAGCAAACACAAGGGATTGGGACAAAAATCTCATTTTCTGCAGCCCACCAGGATGGATTTAAAGACTCTTCACACACCTGAGCTCCTTCACACCTGCGTGGACAGCGAGAGACAATATTAAACTTGTATTAAATGGGAAGAAAGAAGAAGAGCAGCCAGACTTCAGAGCTTTACAAACCCCGAAGCCTCTGCTGCATGGAGATCTCAAGGTAAATTTAGCACAGCCTCTCCCTGGATGAGCTTCCTGCGGAAATCCAGCCCTGCTGGGGAGCAAAGGTGGGGCAAGCCCTGCAGGGAGCACAGGGAGCTCTGCAAATAAACCCTGGGCTCCCAATAAATGGAATAAACAGCCAGCACTTCTCATTTCTAAATGCACCGAGAAATGCTCAGGGAGAGGGAAAATCTCGTTGAAAACTCTCACTGTTGCCTCCTGACAGCTTCAAAACCCCCAAATCTGGCTCAGAGTGTGGGGTTGGAGGAGGAAACATCCTCGGAGAGGTGCAGGAGGAGACAAGGAGGAGGCAGCAAGCCCAGAGATGCCCTGGCACAGACACAGCGCCAGGGTTTGCCCTTCCTGCCCCAAGGCACAGGGCTTTCCTGAACCCCAATTAAAACCTAAACCCAAACTATCACCTCCAAACCACCCAAAGGCTGATGTGCATCACTCCAGAGAGGGGTGGGAAGCTCTGAAACATCCCAGCAGATTCTGGGTTTTGCTGCTAAAAATTCGTGTTCAGCACCTCTGTCTGGGTTTGTTCCCCCCCAAGGACTTGGAGCTGCAAATGCCCCCTTTAAGCCCCATTTCCATTTAAAAGCCCAATTTCTGCCAGCCAGGAGCCTGGCTGCTTCCCTGGCAGGGCTCCTTTGCCAATCTCTCCCCACCCTCGTGGCTCCTTTACTTCTCTCCAATTTGTCAACATCCTCTTGAGAGGAGGCCGCCAGGAGCCAGGGGAATTATTCCAAGGAGAGTTGTGCCGGAGCCAAGGCGGGCCAGGAGAACCTGGGGAGCTCTGCTCCTGCTGCTGCCACATCCCAGCGTGGTGATGGCTCTTTTTGGCTCACCATTTCCCCACCCGTGCTCACCCTGCTGAGCCCAGCACTGCCACGGCGTTAATTAAACCTCATCCCTCAGCCCCGGTTTGCTGCCATTCCCAAACATAAATCCATTAAAATGCTGTTGGAATGAGGTAATTAATGTGCTGTAAATTGCATTAATTGACCCATTGACACCAACAACCCCAAATTTCACTCCCAGTTCATCCCGGGCTCTAAAATGAAGCTCTGTGATGAATTCCACTGCCTGTGATGAGGAACTGAACATCTAAATGTCACATACACACGGGGCAAAAATTCCCTTCCTAAGGAAAATCACCATTCCCCCTTTTCCAGGTGGAAAACAGAGCCTGGGGCACACAAAGGACAATCCCTGTGGGTGCTAAGGACCAGGTGGGTCTAAATCCCAACAGCCAAAGGGAAGGAGGCTCCACGCCCAGCCAGCCAGCAGGTCTCTGCCTGCTCCAGCAGCTGCAGAACTTCCAGGGGGTACAGGTGGAATTCCTGGGGCTCCAGGAGCCTTCCCAGCACATCCCAGTGAGCCCAGGGCTGCCCAGATCCCCTTTCTGCAGGGTGGGAAACACAACTGCGGGATTTTCCTCTCCAACTGCAGGCTCTGACACCAGCAAAAAGGAAGAGGGATGCTTTCTGAGCCAGCACGAGGGCTTTTTTGGTCAAATTCTCTAATTTCATTAATTGATCCCAATATTTATGCCTTTCCCTGCTGCAGTGCAAATATTGTTAGAACACGCGGTTTCATTACTTCTCCAAAGAGACTTCACAAGATGCACCTGATGAGTCACCTCAGGATTCTGCCAGCTCATTTTCACTTCTTTCTCCTCTAATTCCTCTTCTGTCTGCAGCGCTTTCCAGCAGCTCCAGCTCCCTGCCAGTCCTGCCAGCCCGGGCTGCCTTGGAGAGCAGCCTCTGGGTTTGCTGGGGTTTCATTCCCACCCTGGAGGAACAGCCACGCTCCCACCTCATCCCCCCCGGGAAACTGCCCCTTCCAACAAATCCAGACTCCTGCTGGGGTTTGGATTTCACTCCAGGGTGGCTGCGGGTGACCAGGTGGAGCAGGAGGCTCTGGGATGGAGCATTTCCCTGGAGCAGGAGGGGCTGGGATGGAGCACTTCCCCTGCTCCCTGGGGCACGAGGGGCTGGGATGGAGCATTTCCCCTGGAGGGTTCCCTGGGATGGAGCACTTCCCTGGAGGGTTCCCTGGGATGGAGCATTTCCCTGGAGGGTCCCTGGGATGGAGCACTTCCCCTGGAGGGTTTCCTGGGATGGAGCACCTCCCCTGGGTGGCTCAGGGCCCCACAGGGGCTGTGCCTCCCTCAGCTTTGGGTGCTCGAGGCTGGGATTGCACCAGGGGAGACCAGAGGGCTGGAGCAGTGTTATCCCAACATCCCACCCTCCACACAAGCAGGCAGGAGTGGCCACTTCCTGGGGTTTGGATTTCACTCCAGGGTGGCTGCGGGTGACCAGGTGGAGCAGGAGGCTCTGGGATGGAGCATTTCCCTGGAGCACGAGGGGCTGGGATGGAGCATTTCCCTGGAGCAGGAGGGGCTGGGATGGAGCATTTCCCTGGAGCACGAGGGGCTGGGATGGAGCATTTCCCTGGAGCACGAGGGGCTGGGATGGAGCATTTCCCCTGGAGGGTTCCCTGGGATGGAGCACTTCCCTGGAGGGTTCCCTGGGATGGAGCATTTCCCTGGAGGGTCCCTGGGATGGAGCACTTCCCCTGGAGGGTCCCTGGGATGGAGCATTTCCCTGGAGGGTCCCTGGGATGGAGCACCTCCCCTGGATGGCTCAGGGCCCCACAGGGGCTGTGCCTCCCTCAGCTTTGGGTGCTCGAGGCTGGGATTGCACCAGGGGAGACCAGAGGGCTGGAGCAGTGTTATCCCAACATCCCACCCTCCACACAAGCAGGCAGGAGTGGCCACTTCCCTCCAACTCTCCCCCAGGTGAGATGAGGGCAGACCACAGGGGCCAGGCTCTGCTCCACGGACAGTCCCTCATGGATGGGCAGGAATCTGCTCCAGGCTGCTCACAGGTGCTCTCAGATCCGCCTTTTCAGGACTCATGGAAGAGATTTCCACCTGTCCTTTCCAGGATTCTGATTTTTCTACAGTTTTTTCCAGGAAGAGTCACCTCTTTTGTCACCACCTGGAGCAGTTTCAAAGCCCTGAGCTCGGGGGTGCCAGCACAGGGAGGAGCTGGAGCTGCTGGAATAAATCCAGAGGAGGCTCCAGGATGATCCCAGGGCTGGAGCAGCTCTGCTGGGATTGTTCCCCTGGAGAGGAGAAGCTTTGGGGTGACCTCACTGTGGCCTTCCAGGACCTGCAGGGGCTCCAGGAGAGCTGCAGAGGGACTGGGGACAAGGGACAGAGGGACAGGACACAGGGAATGGCTGCCACTGGCCAAGGGGAGATTGGGCTGGGATCTGGGCAAGGAATTGCTGGCTGGGAGGGTGGGCAGGGGCTGGGCTGGAATTCCCAGAGCAGCTGTGGCTGCTCCTGGATCCCTGGCAGTGCCCAGGCCAGGTTGGACACTGGGGCTGGGATCCACCTGGGACAGTGGGAGGTGTCCCTGCCATGGCAGGGTGGCACTGGGTGGCTTTGAGGTCCCTTCCCACCCAACCCATTCCAGGATTCTGGGATTTTATGAACTCAGTTATCCAGAAACATCACCTCAAATGTCATGATGATGTTTAAGGCAGGGTCTCAAAGACCACCAGAACCTGAAGAGAACCAAAGCTGTGGTGAGGAGAGGGAGACTGGAATAAATCTTGGGAATAGATGTGATCTTTGCTTGTCAGGACATTCATTAGCAGTCCTTATTTAGCAGCAGAATTGCAGCTTAGAGATAGTTTAAAAAAAAAAAAAGAATTTATTTAAAGAATCCATCCAGCCCCAATCCCTTCCCCAACACCTGTCACTATAAAAACAGCACGGAGGGTTCCAGTTCCCCTTAATGGATGAGCCTCCTCCTATTAAACACAGGAACATTTCACAGTCCTGCACTCAGAGACAGCAATTTATTTGTCACCCTCTCCATAAAAATCTTCTGCCTCATTTCTGATCCAAACTAATCCTCCTTCAGCCTGAAAGCACCTGGTGCCACCCTCTGAGCACTGATCCTCAATCCATGGGTGCTGCTCCAGCTATGCCAGCCAGGAAGAACTCCCTGCAGAAAAGCCCTTATTGATTAATCGCTCATTAATCACTCATAATGACAAGGCACAATGAGACACAAAGAACTAATTAGGAGTCACGGGGTAGATGAGCCCAGCGTGGAAAAGAAGCCCCAGAGGTTTAAGTCCTGCAGAGTGGGGTCTGGGCTGCACTTTGCACCATTACACAACAAAACCCCTCTGCAAGGGCAAGGCTGGAGAGGAAACCATTGAAAAATGAGTAATTTCAGTTAATTATTTCATCTGTCCAGCCAGTTCAAAAAGCTGTTCCCGTCCTGCTCCAGCAGCGATGTTCTCACCTCGCACAGCACCCAGGAAATGCAGATTTAACGAGGCAACAGCCGGGAGTTTGCACCCCGTCAGGAGCTGCCAGTGGTTTCACACCCGGGGGCTGTGAGGTTTATTAAAGCACAGCTCGGATCACCCAGCCCACGCTGAATTCCAAATGTTGGGTGGTGCAGAACGGGGGATGCAGCACAGCTCCTCCCGGAGCGCTCCAGCTCCCTCCCCGTGCCCTGGGAGGGCAGCCTCCCGTCCAGATGTGCCTTCCCAATAACCCCAGCTTTGAAATGATTGAAATAAGGGGGGGAAACAACCCAACTGCAGCTGCTCCCAGGGATGGAGCAGTGTGGCATTCCTGATAAACCTGGGGAACCAGGTAACACCATCCTA